AGAGTGAGAGAAAGAGAAAGAGAGAAGACAGAGAGAGAGAAAGAGAGAGACAGAGAGAGAGAGAGAGATAGAGAGAGAGACAGAGAGCACAGCATGACATGCCAGGTGAAAGGTAGCAGTCAGGCTCGGTGCTCTAAGATGTCTCTGCCAGCTGATGCCGACTAAGCCACGAGAAATAATAATAGCAGAGAGGGCAGTGGGTAAGAGCGTAGTTAGAAGAGAGAGAGAGAGAGAGAGGAGAGCTTTCCTCTCTCTGGTTAGCAGGATTGAGGTGGATTGTGGGTATACTGGGAATTAGTGTCATTAAGATCAGAAGGGTCCTCGTCTGCTATTGGTCTTTTAGGTTTTTACTGCCACCAAGGAAAGTGAAAGCCTCAGGTCCTTTTAAAGTTTGTTTTGAGAGTCAGATTGGATATCACTAACACAGTTTCACCATGCAGAGCCCTTGCATGGAGCTTTTGTTTGTGCCATGAGGATTTTTGTTTACCGCCCTGGTGGAGAGACCATCCTTTCAGACCACCTACCCAGAGTTGTCCTTGCTCTCCTGCTCCTCGTCGCACTCCTGCTTCACGTCCTCCGAGCCGAGGCGAGCCGTCGACGAGCCCTCGTCTGCGTCTCCCTTCAGGGGTCCGTCGTCTTCGTCGTCGTCGTCGTTTCCGCTGTCTTTCCCCTCCGTTTTTGATGGTTCGGGCTCCATTTTGTTTCTGGTCAAGTCAGGTTTCTCGTCCTGTAAGAGAAGGATGCTTTTATTTACAACAACACAGGAGAATTTAATGGATGAAGACCTAACATGCTAAAAAAAAAAAAAGGACACAGACTTTAATCAAACAGCATTTAGGAGGATTCACCTTGCAGACTACAGGCTGCGCATTACAAGGTTCTGCATCCATTTGGACTTTCTGCTCTTCAGAGGTGGAGGATGTGGCAGCTGCTCCTCCAGCCTCCCCCTCAGACTTCACCTCCCCCTTGGGAGCCTGTTTCAAAGGGAGGTCCATCCTGAAGGTGATGGCGGTGGAGGTGCAGTATTCCTCAAATCCATACAAGTACCTGGATGATAAAACAGATCCAAAAGTCTGATGTTACAACGCAAAGATGTACAGATTCTATCACAACAGGCGCTGCTAAAAGCTCATCTTGCAACGACAGAAGCTTAATTTATTCTTCACATCCAGATGGACACACTGCACTGTCAGTCTCGGTGAAAAACGACACAAACAAAAGCTGCATCTGCTCAGTTAAAAGCTTTGAGGAGCTGTGTACGTACTTGCGGTAAGCACATTTGACGTTGTAGCCAGCGGCTGAGTTGAGCACAGGGATTCCCAGATCCTGATAGACTTGTTTCCAAACGGAGCCGCTTTCAATCTGCTCAGACACGGACACAGAGGAAGACACAGTCAGACTCAGTCGGCATCAAACGAGACAAGTGTGACCCAAAGTCAAACCACACTCGAGAGGAGTTGCTGTTAAAGCGGCACTCACGTTGTCAAAGCCTCCCAGTTTGTGCACCAGCCTGTAGAGCTTGAACAGGTTCAGGTTCCTGTAGCCCAGAACAGGTCGTTTGTTGATGGGAGTTCCTGAAGAGGAGAAACACAGTTACGTGAGACTGCCTGGATTTAATGGTAGGAAATTAAATAAAAGTTCATGTTATTAGTATAATTTATCAAAAGTAAACATATCCACGTTGCAGTTGTCTCTGTGGGTGTTATACTGTTATACATTAGTGGATCTTTAATACTGATGCAGTTATTTGTACGTAGCATTTTAATGTTGGTAGAGGTGGAGCTAATCTGATACACGGTTCATACTTTTCTACTTTTGTTTAATCAACGTTTTTTTATGCTGATTGTACGTTTCTCTGTAAAATCTTAATCTGAAAAGTATCTAGAACTAAAACTGTCAAATAAATGTAGTGGAGTAGACAAACAAAAGTAAAGTAAATGTATCACATTTGTACTCAAGTACAGTACTTGTATTTAGTTACATACTGTCAGAACATTTTAATTACCAAAGAATGTAAAAGAGCTGCCACTCATACAGAAATATTTCTTGTTGTAAAAGGAAAACAGTGATGAAAATACACATGAACCTTAAAAAAAAAAAGTTACTGCATTTAAAAAGAAAAGTTTGTTTTGGAGAAACCCAGTAAACATCATTTCTATCTGCACTCTGGTCTCACCTCTGTCCTCCATGAACTTGTACAGCTGCTGCAGAAAGTTCTCGCGCTCCTCTGGGAACGGCTCCACTTCCTCCTGCGGACAGGAAACAAAGACAGTTCGAGGATCTTTTTTAAACTTGGAGGTTGTGGAGATAAGAGCATGTGCAGGGTTCTGCCTCTACCTCCTCCTCCTCGCCGCTGGCATCTTCTTCCTGCTCTTCCTCTTCATCCTCGTCGTCATCCTCGCTGCTAGAGCTTTCTTCTTTCACTTCTGTCTTCCAGGTGCTGGGCACGACGTACTGCTGCTGGAACTCCAAGGCCGCGTCCAGCGCTGTCAAAACACACACGGAGTGAGTAATATCACACATTAACCGCATCCAATGAGGGCTGCCTATCATTCCCTGCGGCTGTAATCTAGAAAACAGAGCTCGCAAAACTCGAGCTTAATCACTTTGTAGAGATAAAACGTATTTCATGCTAAATAAACAGAGATAAGGCATAAACACATCTTTGTTCTTTACACCATGTACATGAAAAATCAATAGAAAGCCAGGCCAATGTTCTGAATGTAAGACTCTTTGATTTAAACCTCATAACATCTGTCTCTGGGTGTTTGTAGGGTGCTGGGTGTGTCTGTACATGTTCATGTGTAACGGCAGCACTGAAGCAATCCAAACTGAATGAAACCAGAGCACCTTCAAGAAAAAAGCTATAACGGACAATCAATATTGACAAAAACCGTTCATACAACTGTTACTGCTGAGAATAATACACCCACATACAGAAACAGGACAGCATAGAAAGACATTCTGACATAAACATGAAGAGAGGCAGCCATGGAAGAAAACAGCATGAAAATCTGTCAGGAGTATTTGCAGTGACGCAGAGCAGCAGGAGCATTCAGCCACAGTGTCACAGGTGGGTTTAAGTAGCAGCTAACCACCCTGGCAGATGCTTGTTTTACGCCTTTCTAATGCGGGAAAATATCACAGTTGTGAGTCAACCACCTGTGAATACCAAGACTGGTGTAATACAAAGCTGTTTCCTAACTGTAATTATGAAAGAGTGAGAGCTCTGCAGCAGAGAAACGGGGGCACTATATAAAAAGCCTGGTGAGGACTTCAAATAAAAATAGACTCGACAGTGACAGGAGCTCTCCGCCGCTGCGTTCCACAGAACAAAAACAAAACTTCTCTTTCTTCACTCTGTCTCGCTGCAACCCACTCAGAGAGCGATTTTCTGCCAAGTGTGTCAACACACAGAGCAGCCCGCAGATGTCAGGGGTGAGGTACGCGCTATGCACCAGTTCTGCGAGACTCGCCTCACGAACGCTTTAAAACTTTAAACTCACCTGGTTTGAGCCCTGCGTCGGCTTTTGGAGGACAATCGCTGTTCATCTCGCGGACGTCCTTCCGCAGCACCGTGTAACTGCAAAACAGAGCAACTCTTATCAATATGTGCACAGAAGTGACGAAGTGTGGACAGAACTGTGTTAATACATCACGGCTCAGCTCTACGGTGGGACTGTAACCAAGAAAGTAGTAAGCCGACCAAAATCTAATCTAATCTTTTTGTTTTCTTCAAATCAAGGACGCTAAAAATGTGTGAAACAAGAACAGCCACCCTAAAGTCTTGCTCGTCAAAACGCTGCACTCTTGAGTTCAACAACAACCTCAAAACCTGAGCAGACATGCCTTCGTTCTCAGCCCATTTCTTACAACACCTCTACAGCAGCTGGACACTGTTGGTGTTGGTGATTTGGCAGGTAGATGGATCCGTGGAGCTTGTAAGCTGAAAGCAGTCAGAGACTTGTCGAGTGTGCCAGAGAGACGATTTGCTGTGGTATCTGTGGGCAGCTGAGCTGATCCAATCACTAGATTTGTCATGGAGTGAAGAAAATAAGTATACTGCGGCTAAAAACATACAGAAACACCTCGGTTTAAGGACATTTCCAACAGATAACTACGTATGTTATTATAATAGCACTGGTTCTCCTGTGTACTCCGTATACCAACGTGTTCAGATTATTTTTCATTCACACTAGTAAACAGATAAACAAGAATAAGAGCCTGTAACCTGCTAGCAGCAACAATTTATATGACTTACTGATTACTGTCATTAGATTCATCTTCAGATTATTTTACCAACTGATTGTTTTGTGCGTAAAATGTCAGAGAATTGTAAAAAGGGCCGTCACAGTTTAAGCCCAAGCTGAAAATAGTCCTAATGAACAGTGCAAAACTGTTAGATATTCCATTTACAATTCTAACAGAGAAAAGCAGAAAGTTGTTGCATTTAAAAAGCCAGTACAAGCAAATGTTTTTGTATTTTGACTCAAATGATTAATTAATTGTCAAAATTGCTGTTGATTAATTTTTATGTTGATTAACTGACTAATTTTTTCAGCTCTAAATACGACAGACACCCAGTTTTTGTTCTGTTGAGCTGGTAGTGAGAGTCTCAGTTAAAAACCTTCTCACAGTGATTAAAATGTATTTTTCTGTGCACATCAACTTTGCAAACTGGCCAAACATGAAAAATATAGAAATAGCTGCTGTTTCCATTGTAACCAGATTTAACTAAATAAGAACAACCACTCCCTAAAAAAAACTCCTGTCTCTCCTCTGGATGTGACCTTGCTTTCCCTAAAAAAAGAAATGTTTTCCACAAGCCATTGTTTTTGAAAGGCACGTTCAACGGTTATCAGGAACAATAACAAAAAACTCTCCAGAGGAAAGTGAACACTGACCCCGGCACTGCACCGGAGAGAGGTCACGTGGCTTATGGATGTGACCCCTCTTCAAAAAAACAAATCACACGGGGAGCAGAAGGTTAGAAAAACTCTGCAATAATAGACGAAAAGAGGCTGACGAGAAATGATAAAAAGCACAATAACAAACAATGACAAGTGGAGGAGGCGTGTTGTGAAAGAATGGAAAACTTTAAAACAACATATAAACAAAAAGTATTAAAGGAAATTACAGAAACGAGGTTACAGACAGTATGAAACTGGTGTCGGTGCATGTGAAACATTTCATTATATCTTGTATTTTAAATCTTTTTAATCTGGCTTTTACTTAGAGTAATGTTAGTTTTCAAGTTTTAATATTTGTTTTTTATTCATTTTATTTGGTTATTTTTATGATGTTTGACTTTTTAAATTATTATTATTATTATTATTATTATTATTATTATTATTATTGTTGTATTATCTTTTTGTCTTGCATAATTTAATTCATGGTGGTTCATCCTGGTTTTATGCATTGTTTTAATTTGCTAAGTGAAGCACTTTCGGGCTGCATGTTTGTATTAAAGGTCCTAGACTTAGACTTCTCTTTATATATAATAAATATATATAATATATAAACAAAGT